AAGTACTGTTTGATAAAATTAGGTGGAACCTTTATTCCTGAAAAAGGTCATATTTTTAATCATCCTGATTAAAACATAATGGCAAATGAACTGGAATTAGATGTATAACCATGTACCATGGAATTATGATTTTTTAATTGAAAATTTACTGTGAAACGAGATTTTGAAAGGAGATTTTTAAATATAATTTTGCTGCTAGTTTGAAACTCTGGAAATAGAAAAAGAATAATGAGAAATTTTAATTTAAAAAGACTTTTAAATTAGAGTCAGTTTTTGGCTCTTGGCAACATAGAAAGTTTTGTCATCTTTGACTTCATTCTGACATAAAACCCTTATAAAATGCGGCATATGCTGTGTGGTGATCAGAAACATTTTTGAACAGTATTACTCTTCTCTCGGAAAAATCCACAACATCTCCAGGAAGAAAGATTAAACACAGACCTGTAATGGCAAACACTAGATCACAGCTATAGATGGCTCTAATAGTCGGACTTTATGATTCAGAGTTTCATCTCACACTTGCGACAACCTAGTCTTTTGGTGAAAGTGTATTTTGTGCTGGCCTTAGGAGAGCCCCACCCGTGGGTGGGATGAATCTTTGGAGGTGCTCACCTGTCAGCCCCTTAGTTGGGGTTAAGCACACTAATTCTTGTCCCTTATTTCTCTGTCACTGCTGTAAGTGGGGAAGGTCACAGGAAGGTAATTGTCACCTCATTTCACACCCACAACTCCTGTTAGAGGGCCTTGTCCCCAGGTTACCGATGTCAGCCACAGTGAGGTTCAGCTGGGATGTGGCAGTCCCTGGCGTCTAGATTTCAAGCCTAAGTTCCATGTGAGACTGTCCTCCTCTGGCTAGTATTTCACAGAGGTGCTGTCACCATGGGTAACGCAGGGAGGATTTTGTGTAAAGACCTTACTCCTACTAAATCTCCTCTATTCTCATTCCTCTTTAATGCATCCTTGTTACTGTTGCCAGTACTTACAGACTGCTCTGTCAGTGACCTACGCATAAACGTTTTCACTGGTTTTACACGGATGTGAGGCAGTCCATTATCTGGTTGTATTTTTTTTTTAACGTTTCATTATTTCTCCATATGAAAGATTTATCTAAATCAGTCTATTTGGATAATAAACTGATTATCTGGTTTCATATCAATAAAAGCATATTTTTTCTTGTTTGTTTTTTTCTGAATCCTATTGTTTTCTCTCTTAGAAAACTTTGCTTCTTCCTATTACTTTGTCCATATTCACCCTCTATGTCAAGTCCATCTTTTCCCAGCCATCCTTTGACTATATGGCAGAAGAGAAGAGAGAAAACCATAATTTCATTTGCATTAGTGGTATGCTGATATGTCATTTTTATAAAAAGACAGAATTGGTAAAATTGCTTCTGTCTCTAATTTGGAGGTTGAATTGGTCAAGCTTGCTTGGTACACTTTTTCTTTTTTATTTTTTATAAATTGACTCCTAATATATTCACAATTAGTGGAAAGAATATTGGAGTCAAAGTCTGGTGATCTTCATTCTTTCATTTTATCTGTTGCTTGGAGTTACTTTCCCTAAACCTTATTTTTCTCATCATTATTACGATGATAATAGTAGGACTATTATGAGGGTTATATAAGGAAGTGCAAAAGGAAGTGTTCAGTGCCTTGCCTAGGAGATGTTCAGTAAATGCAATTTAAAATCAAAGGTTACTAGTTTATTAGCCTTGTTTCTTTCAGTATACTAGAAAATGTTTCAGGATGTGAAAAGATACTGGAATTTGAGAAATAAGCTGATGGAAAAAAATTAGAATCTGCTCTTTTCTAAGTGATAAAACTAAGAAAATAAATATATGCACTTTCTAAAAAGTAGAGGATTGCCATTTGGTCAGGCTAAGGCAACACAGTCCACTAACATAAGTGTTATTAGCCTTCATCTGAAAATTCTAACCGATGTAACAAGGCAAGGAAAAGATTTAAATACTCAGAATAAGGAGAGAAGTGTGTCATTATTTGCTGGTACCTGGGAGGCTGTGGCAGTGAATGGACTAACTGACAGGACCTGTATCTCCATCCCATATTTCTCTTCTCCACAGCTGCCTCTCGTACATGAACATGTGGATGCATAAGAGCCCCTCAAACTGAGCATGTTTGAACTGGACCAGTTCAAACCTGTTCCTCACTTGCTGCTGAATTCAACAGCACCATCATCTGCTTGGTTCCCGAAACCTGAGTGCCCCCTTTCTTCCTCCTTAACCTGCAGGTTCCTACATACATACATACAAACAAACAGCCATACATCCAACAGACATTTATTGAGCACCTGCTATGTCCCAGGCCGATGGTGAACAGTTTCCACTTCTAAGGAACTTGCTTCCTAACAGGGAAAGAGAGACATACTCATGTTTATGATATGTGAGGAGTAAGTGCTGTGGGGAGGAAAAGGGCAAGGGCGGCGCAGGCAGGATAGGGAATAGGGGCTGGCAGGTGACGGGCGGGGCGGCTACTCTACATCAAGTAGCAAGGGAAGGCTTTTCCATTAAGGTTTAACTGCATCCTTCTGCTGCACCGCAGTGAAGCCGGGAGGTGGGAGAGGAGTTAGGAAGCGGTTGTGGGCCAGGGAGAAAGGTTGGCAGCCACAGGCAGGGCAGAAGTACCAGCCAGCGAGACCGTAAGGGCGCTTATTTTAGTGACTGTTTTGGAGTTACAATCACTGACGGGTTGGATGTGGTTTTTGAGGGAAATCGTAGAGAGGATGACTTCTGCCCTTGGACTTGAGCAGTTGCAACAAGAGCGTTCCTGTTTTCTGAGTTGATGAAAAGAGCCGGAAGAGCAGGTGTGCGGTGTGTGTGTCCGTGGTTTGGGGCATGTTAAGCGAAGGTGCCCATTGGACATCCAGGTAGAGACGGTGCGAATCCCCAGTTGGCTGTTCAGGCCTGGAATTCGGGTGACAGATGTGGCTGGAGTTTCCTCTCAGGACTCATTCCTTCTCTCCATCCCAGTGGTTCCTGCTCTGGGTGAGGGCGCCATAGACCGCCATTCGGGTCACTGGACGTCCCTTCCATCTTACCTTCTGCCATTACTTTTGCCACCCTTTCATCTTAATAGCCTGAGTTTTTTCTAAAATGCCATTATTTTGATGTCTCTCACATTCTTAAACCTTCAGCAGCTCCTCATTGCTCAAAGAATAAAATTCAGACTTCTTAATCGGGCTTCAAAGGTCTTGTATGAACTGATGCCTGATTAGTTTTTGGTGTCATTTTTCTTTTCCACTCCATATTCTCCGCTCTTGCTAGTCTCACTTCTTTCTGTGCCCTTCAAGGTTTTGCACCTTTAGACCTTCAAACACTATCCTTCTATTATCTGGTCCTTTCTCTCCGCACCAAAACCTTCTCACCTGCCTCTCTCTCTGTCTCTTTCAAACTTTTGATGAGATCATTTATTACAGGCAGACTGTCTCTGACAAATATGGGTTAAGAGGCTCTTCTTTATTCTCCTGTGGTTCTTAACAGAACGTGGGAAATGTGTCAATGGATTGTAATTGCCATTTCCCTTTCGTTCACCTCTGTTGGCCTTAAATTCCGTGAGGCCAGGATGTCTCTGTTTTGTCTAGTATTGTTTCTGTATTGCTCAGCACAATCCCTTTCAGTTGATGCTTAATAAATATTATTTGAAAGCAAGAATAAATAAAGTGACTGATTATAAAACATGACTGCAAAATTCAGCACAGTTTCTATAATCTAGCGTTAACTAGTTACAAAATATTGTGAGGAATTAACCACCCACCTCCAAATACTCGAGGGTGTAATTTAGACGTATTCAGGACACCCAACACTAACAATAAATATACAGGTTTGTCTTTGAAGAATACAGCGGTTAGCTGAATAACTATGGACACATGTCATGTTCACAATTGGGAAATTTGAAAATTGTCAACATACTGAATCTCCCTAATCTATTTACAAATGCCTTGTGATTCAAGTGCAATTCAGTTGGATTTTATTTTGTAAACTTTTGAATTACTCTATAGTTCATGTGGAAAAATAAATGAGCAAGAAAAGTGAAGAAATTTAGAAAGGGAAGAACAGCTAGTTAATAAGCTATATCATAGCTACAATGCTTAAGACATGGTGGTAATAGAACAATAGTAATACACAGAACAATGGAACAGAATTCCAGAAAACAAGCGTATGATAAAATTGTAATGTAAAATCAGTTGAGAAAAGTGTTAGGTTACTCATAAAATGATACAGAGATAATGAGTTAATAAATATTTTGAAAAATATAAAATTGATCTGTCTCACCAAAACATGTAACTATGCTTCCTTGAATAAAAATAATGTAATTTGCCATCTTTCAAAGATTTGGAAAACAAGTGGCAAACAGTGTATCCTTCCAGTTTTGTACAAGCTATATTTTTTAAATAAGCATGGTATATCAAACATAAAAGAGCCGGGTGCTTGTTTTTGCTTAGCACTCTTAGAGCTAACTTCTTATCTTACGTGTCAGTATATGTCATTTTATAGTATGCTGTGTCCTGTTCAAATGAGCAAACACTACTTACTTGCACCTGATGGCGCTGGTTTTCGTAGTGAACATTACTTTTATTTTTGTTTTCCCTGTTGGACCTTCAAATATTTACTCTTAGTAGTTTTTCTAGCATAAAATTCATCAGTGCCTATCTGAAATAGCTAAGACCTTGGGATATCTATTATTTAATTATTGTTATAACTGTGTAATTTAAAAGCTTTGTATCTTTTTTGGGATTTTGTCATGATAGAATGTTCACATCCTACCTACCCTTTCAGAGTTGAGTGCCTTACTGTCCCTAATGTGATACATCCTTGATCTTACAGAAAGAAGAGAAGAGGAAGATTTTGAAGAAAAGAAAGCTCTTAAGAAAAAAATTAAAGAACTTAAATTTCTAGATTCTAAAATTGCCCAGAACCTTTGTAAGTATCAGATTTTAATACTATTAAATTTGCAAAACACACGGGAGGATGTTCCTTTCAATTATTTCATTTTCTTTATGACATTTTTCATTTTACGATTATTTTTGTAATAAAGTGAAAGGTAACTTTCCTTTAGGCAATTTATGGTTTAAATTCTTCAAAAGATTACTACATATTAGAAAATAATGCTAAGAGAAGGACTTAGAACGATAATGTATCTCCCATAACTGAAAAGAAAACTACCCCTTAAAGTCTCCTTTTTAAGTGTCTAAATAAAGAAGTAAGGAATTTAGATGACATCATATCTTGAAAAAAAACTGCTAGTGGATTATTTCTTTTATACCTCTGAATATCTATTATTTGTGATACTTGATCACACACAAAGGAGGCTGGAATATTAATGGAAATAAAGGCTGATGAGTAAAATGAATTCCATTATTCCATCTGAGCAGTTCAAAGCCTTTTCTCAAAAGTACTGACTGGAAATATTTTAGATTTAATTACTGTTACAGGGACCTAAATACTTAGTATTGAATTGTCTTCCTGACTGAATTACTCTGGGAGAAGAGGGCAAATAGTTTTGCTTCTAACTCATTTCTAACTGCCTCTTAAATGCATCAAAGATGGTTCTTGGAACTGAGATAATATCTGTATATATTACTTTCTGATGGTGCAAGTGGGATATAATGTGGAGAATCTAAAGACATGAAGAATTAACATGGCTTTTAGCCTCCCTTTCAATCATTACATGCCTCAAGTGAGCTTTTAGCAGCTATTGGAACAAAACAATTCTTTGTTGCAAGGATAAAGATCCATGCTATTGATTAAGGAGGGAGTTAAGTTACAGGCAGTGAATGCAAAGGCAGAGCTGACTTTCCTTTTGTGAAAGTTCTGGAATGTCCTTGTTCTCATCCACTGTGACAGGGGGCCATCCGTTCCCTGCAGGATTGCTGAGGTCTCTGGATAGTGGACAGACATTAATGCTATTGACCAATACACAGTTCTTTATTTCTGGCCACTGATTGCACATCCCTGCCTCTTTCAAGTTAGGTGCCAATCATGACTTGCTTGGACCAATGACAATGCAAGTGGAGATGAGGTAACTTGTGTGTGGAAGCGTTTAAGGGCTGGTGCAAGAAGCTCGAGTGCTCTTTGCTTTCACCCAGAGTGGCAGTGAGATCGGCGTCCACAATCCTGATGGGAGGGTCATAAGTAAAAGAGCCCCGTCTTCCAGATGTGTGATGGGCATGTAGTCTGAATTCGAAATATTTTTTTAATATTTTTGTTTTGTGCTTTGACCACTGAAGTTTGGGGGACTATTACATGATATGGGTATTTCAGGGAATTTTCCCCTAAAGGAACATTATCTCCATTCAAAGCATTATTAACTTGGATAATGTCAAAACGTTCTGTGATCTGAGATGATGATTCTTATTATTTTTGAGTCCATTTTACATGTGACTTACTTAATTAACTTTATCTTTTTTAAAAAAATTAGTTTTCAATTACAGTTGACAGTCAATATTCTACTCGCCATCTTGATCGGAAGTCGAGATGATTCTTTTCTTGAAAAATGTCCATGACCTGCATTATAAATTTCTAGTCTTGACTATAAATAGACTCATTAGAGGTCCTGAAGAAATATCATTTTGAATAAAATTCTTTTTTGATGGGGGTCAGTCATAATAGGTTAGTCTACACACCCATCTCAAAGTTGAGTAATTGACTTGTTGGTCAGGGTTCTTTAGTATTATTTATATGTTATAGAACATGTGCTAAGTAGAATTTCAAATTTAATTGTAACAGTTAATAATTACTGATTACCTTTATGTGCTAGTTCTGCATTTGGCTCTTTATTCTTTACTAACTATAGTCCTACCACACAGGTAGTAGTGTTGACATATAAGTAGGGAATCTGGCAGGGGTAGCAGTTCAATGACTTGAATAAAATCGCTCATTTTGGAAATGGCCGATAGGTATAGGTTATATCTATTTCTGTTTAGAGATTTAAAAAAAAATGTACTATCATAGAGAAGGATACTGTTTGTCTTGTTTACTTTAGCTAGAGGATATGTCTCCATTCATTTAATTGCTAAACATCTTTTAAAGTATAAGATCAAAAGGTCCAGAATTTGTACTGTCATGTTATGATGTAATCCATTCTAGGATGATTCTTGCCCTCTCTGATTGCAGCAAGTGTTATGATTTAAGCTTTAAGAAGCTTTAGCAGCCGTATAATCTTGACTGTAATTATAGTTCAAATTCACAGCTGGTTTTTGTCTATGAAATTCAGTCTTTTGAGATACTAAATTCTGAAGAGAGTCTTGTGATAGTGACAATACTCTCTCGTCACTTAGAAATCTAAGATCATTTCTCTTACTTGCAATATTCTATAGAATTTTGAGTAAAGGCTCTAAAATTCACTTCTTTATTTACCTGTTTATTTAAAGGTGAGTCACGTTCCCTATATTTTGAGTTCATAAAGGTTTTGGCAAAGACTCAGCTCAGCATAAAACAGAATTCCAACCATTCTGGGGTAAAAAGATGGCTCGGGAGTGGTAACAGGGTTCATATGCTTTACCAGACTTTTTGGAGTGGGTAATAGAACTGTAAAGGGAGGAACCCAGGAATCTACAAATTAACATGAAGATTTAAATATTTATCAGCTCCCTTGCAGAAAATGTGTGACTGGTTCCAAAATCTGCACACTTTACACTTATTCACCACACTCAAAGCTCCCCACCAGGTTCTGTATAATCACATTGTAGAGGATAAGAGGCATGCAAGTGAAAAGATTGCTTTTAATGCATCTTTTGGAGACTTTAACTGAGTCTTAGATTATTCTCAGCAACTTTTAAGTATTTAAAAAAACTAAGGTCTATACTTTTTTTGAATTGTATATTATGCATTAGGCCATTTTCAACTCTTCTGTAATATTTTTGCCCTTTTTTTTAGAGTACATGTTTTCCGCAAAAGAATTAATTCATAAACTATTAAAAAAATAGCTCATTCTTTCTAAACAGGTGTTTAATGTATGTTATTTTAATTATGGAATAATACTTGATAGTAGTGGATGCATTATAAATATAGAAGAAAGCAAAGGAATAAAATATGTCTATCTGCAAAGTAAATGTTGGATATCATACTTTATTCATTTAATGCTTGGTTGAATTTGGGTTTCCCATTTTTGGTATTACTAAGGAAAGGGGTAGCATATTATGGCCTTTAGGCTAAGTCTTGTCCATTGCCTATTTTATTGGAACAAGGATGCTTTGTGTCTCTCTGAAATTCTAGAAAATTCTCTGGCATTTTTCTCTTCATTTATGCTTCTATCCTATTTTTTATTTTTTTTTTTTGTGATTTCCTTTTGGAATTCCAAGTAGGTGTTTGAGGCATCCTTATTACTCTGCTGTGTCTCACAACCTAGTATTTTTCCATCTCTTTATGTGACACTTTTGATAGCTTCTTTGCCTATGAGCATGTCTTCCATGTCACAAATTTTCTGATGTCTAATCTATATGTTGAGTTTGTAATTGCAGTTTTATATCTACATATGATTTCTAAAAGCTCTTTTATTCTCCCTCATATCTTCTTGTTTTTCTTTAATAATTTTTTGTTTTTTCCTGCCCAGTGTTTGAAATTTCTCTTTCATTTCTTTACATAATTATTTTCTCCCAGGATTTCTGCTTTCCTTCCTTTCAAAACTGCTCAGAAATGCATTTATGATTAAGTTTAAAATATATATTTTTAGATTTTTTTTTCTTTTCTTTTTTTTTTAAATGTATCTCTCTATCTCTCTACTTTACCATACTGCCCAAAATGTAAAGCTGTCATTTCTGTCACTCTTAATTGCTATGTTATGCCTCAGAGGAATTCTATCATTCTGATTATTGTATTTAACATTGTAACCTTTTCTATTTGTTATTGTTACTATAGAGTAGATTTCTTCGGTGGAATTTATTGTTTCTCAAATGCAATAACTGAAGGATTCTGATTAATTTTACTCAGTTTGCAATTCAGATAATATTTTAACAATTTGCATTCTCAATTTGGTTACTTCTGAGATTTAGCATGTTACCTTTTTTTGTCATTTTTTTCTTATTCTTTTAATTGAGATTACATACATTTTACCCATTTTCCTACTTGGGTGTCATGGTATTCTAAATGAAGGAAAACAAATGCTCTGTGTATTTTGAAGCAGATTTATCCTTCCAGCTTTGTTGCGTTTTAATTATTTTAAATACTTTGACATTAGTTTTTTCCTTTTATATTGTCAGATATCAATCTTTTCGTGTTTCCCATTGGTTTTTATGATTAAGAAGCTCTTCTTTAACCATAAAAGAACTAATTTGCCATGTTAAATTTCTTTTAGTATTCCTTTCTCTTGTTAATATTTACATTTAATTCTACAACCATGTGCAACTTGTTTTGTACATGATGCTCAGATGTAGATTTTATTCCCTCCCCATCAATTATTCATTGATTACTCTTTGAGAACATCTATATAGTTATTACATGTTTGTGCTTTCTAATGTCTACTATGGGGTTACCCTTTTGTAATTCCATTAATCTCTATAGAATATCGTTTATATCCTGTATTTCACCTTATCCTTGGGACATTAAGGATTACACACATCCATAATTTCTAGCACTGTGTTTTCAGATTTATGACTGTTTGAGTTCACAAATGTGTGAATGAAGCTGGTGATAAGAGCACAGATGGTGACTTTGTTATTCAGCTATAGATGATACATGGTATCCTCAGGAACCTGGAATACAGCCTCCCTCCACGAATGAAGTAGATCATATTTTCTAAGTCTTATGAAAAATAGTGTCCTTATTTGAAAATTCCTACTGACAAAATGACATAAGTTCAGTATATAAAATAAATAAGCAGGCTAGTAGTTAGCAAGTTCTGAGTATGTTCGAGAAATGACGGCTGTCACTGGAGAGAAGAAACATAATAATAGTAGAATAAAGGGAGAACAGCAAAAGCATTCAATCTAATGCTGTGAAAATATCCTTATATACCTCAGTAGCTTTTGAGAAGATCATTGTGTTTTAACACTAGATATATGAGATATCAAAAAAAAAGTAAATAATGTTGGAATTTTCAGAATAACATTTTATGCTATCTAATTCACTTTGATAGTTTTCTATGAAAGTTTGTTTTCTAATACTGAATATTTAAGCTTTAATTATATGCAAAGGCTATTTCTCTGGGATGTTTACAATATTTCTATATAGTGAAGTATTGTTATAACTTGTAAAAGTGTTAGTGCACTGTTTAGCAGTTTTCATAAAATATTTCTTTCTGAACTATTTAAGGTCTGGGAGATACTATATAAGCTCATAACACACATGTTTAGACAAATATTACATGCACATGTTGGGGTTTTATGCTTCTTTTCTTTACAATGTGATATTTTTATAGTGTACCAAACATATTTCAGTTTATTTTTAAGCACATGAAAATTGGCACCATTGCTATAAAAATCAACCTCAGAATCAGCATAATAACATAGGACTGTTCTTTAAATGGTAGTTCTAAGACTGGAGAAGAATATAACATGTGCTAATGAAACTTTCCCCCATAATAATTATAGTAAATGTTTAAAATCTTTGATTTTATGAATTATTTTTCATTTTATAAGTAGAACTATATCTCAGTGCTTTTCTTACCTTAACCATTATGAACCCTTTCCCCCTGCGCCCCTTTAGCAATCTTCCTGAGCTCTTTTCGGGTACCGTATGAAGAAATCAAAATGATGATATTGGAAGTGGATGAAACACAGTTGGCAGAGTCTATGATTCAGGTAAACAAACAAGCAGAGACCTTAAATTCCAATATTTCATTGCAGGCTTCTCATTAAATAGAAATCTGTAAGTGAAGCAAAATTCTTAAACCAAATCATTCAACTGGAAAATCATTGCTGCATAATGAGTTTTAGCACAACTTCCGCATTGCCAGGCGATAAAACGCTGCATCTTCTCTTAACTGCAAACTAAATATAATGCTATCAAAATGAATGCATTTCCGTTACTTTAAATGACTTTCTTAAAGTCAGATTGTTTAATTTTACATGTATGTTTTTGTTACAGTTAAGACGAGTAATGTGTTCATTGAAATTTATTTGTATAGTGTTTATAGAGTATGTTTTTATTAGGCTTTATTTGTCTTATAAAGTTGTGTTATTATTAGATATAACATATTGAGGGAGATTTCTCTTCATTTAGAGTTACCTTTACTAACAACCCTTACTTGAGTCATCTGTGCTCCTATGAATGCTAGAGACTATTTGCATAATGTTTTGAATTCATTCAGAAAGCCGAAACATTTTTTAAATGGTTTCTACTTACAGTATTATTTAAGGGATGCTAGTATGATGCCAAGGTTACTTGCTGAATTCCACATAAGGCATCAATAAACATATCTTGATAGAATTTAAAGTTAGAGAATCAAATATAAAATGATATAGCGAGAGGATATCTTCAGTTATTATCTTTTATTTTTATAATGGAAGGAAAACAATGTTTTAGCAGTAAAAAGAAAATGAGAATTGTCCGTTAGTGTTAACAAGCAATTATAATTGTTCTAGATAGTTTAGCTCATCAGTAAATGGTAACCATAAGGGTTGTGCTTGGTTTTGCCTCTCCTATCATGTCTTCTAAATGCAATGATGAGGTAATCACATTAGTGATTTGTGCAGCATCTCTGAGGCTCATGAACTACCTAACAACAACTCTTCTTTAAGTACTTTTCCTCCAGCAGTTTCTTTTTACTAGAATTTTGTCTTTATTATTGATTGTGTATGTGCCTTGTTGTTAGTAGATTTAAAAATATTTTTTTCTACTTACATGTTTATTTTTTTTAATAATGCATTTGTTAAATAGTTACAGAGTAGCTTCTAACTTGATTACACGAATGTTTTGAATGGCCACGTGGCTTTCGTTGCGTAGCGATGGAAGAGCAATTATTTGCATTTTAAATTCGTGTCCACAGAGCATTGAGTTCCATGTAACTTATTAATATATTAGTTTTCTATTATGGCTGTAACAATTTACTGCAAATTTAATGGCTTAAACTATCCCGAATGTATGATTTTGCATTTGTGTGGAACAGAAGTCTGGCCTGGACCGGACTGTGTTGAAGTCCAGGTGCTGGCAGGGGGCATTCTTTTCACAGGCTTAGGGAAGAATTCCGTTCTTTGTCTTTCACAGCTCCTCAGGGCTGCCCCATTCCTTGGCCGTGAACACCTTCCTTCGTCTTCCAAGCCAGCAATGTCGCTTCTCTCCATTCTTTTCTGTCATAAACACACCTGTCTCTCACTTGATGTCTCCCTCTTCCATGTGTAAGGGCATTTATGATGACATTGGGCACATCAGATAACCCACGGTGATCTCCTTATGTTAAGGTCAGGTGATAGAAAGCTTAATCCCTTTTGTCCTGTAACAATATTCTCACAGGTTATGGGGATTCGATGTGGACATCTGAGGGAGGTTGGTCATTATCCTGCTTACTACACTTACTAAATAAAAAACGAGCCTTAGGAAATTAAAATCTAAAATTTTAGTTTAGACATATGCAGAGTCTTCCTATGTTCATTAAAAAATAAGAATTTCATGCTATTTGAAGTCTCATTTTTTAATTTTAAAATATATTCCTAATTTTAAAGTAGAGAACTGCCTGTTTTTTGGACAGGGCATGGGGAAAGCATTACTTTGTAATAATCATCATTTTGGTAGGTTTTGTTCACTGTCACGATTTTATTGTGGGGTATCTATTTATTCATATATAACAAGATGTCAGTGTTGATGTCATATTTCTACTTCATTCTTTACCCATTTACCTTTGCTTGTCCCATCATCCTTTTATTAATCCGTTTAGCAAATTTTCTTTGTGGATGTTAGCAATATGTGTGTGTGTGTGTGTGTGTGTGTGTGTGTGTGTGTGTGTGTGTGTGTGTGAGAGAGAGTGTGAGTGAGTGTGTGTG